TTCTACTCTGTTAAAACTAATGGTTACAATAGGTTACAAAGCCCTCAAAAAAAAAAAAAAAAAAAAGTATCCTTTGATCCAGTGATTCTGCTTTTCAGGAATTTATCCTAAGTAGTTGGAGAACTGTTAGAATTTATTTACTTATTTGTTTTGTGGTACCGGGGGTTGAACCCAGAGGTATCTACCACTAAGCCACATCCCCAGCCCCCATTTTCTTTTTTTTTTTTTCTTTTCCTATTATTGTTATTATTATTAGTAGTAGTAGTAGTAGAAATAGTAGTAGTAGTACTGGGGATTGAACTCGGGAAAAATTTATCTCTGAGCTACATCCCCCAAATTTTGAGACAGGGTACTCTTAAGTTGCTTGGGTTGGCCTCAGACTTGTGATCCTCCTGCCTCAGCCTCGTGGGTCACTGGACATGGTTGCTACAATTTATTGAACTTCTACTATGCACTGATTCTGTCTGTGCAGGGCCCAACTTAATCCTCACCACAATCTTTTTTTAAAAAATATTTTCATTAGTTATTGATAGATCTTTATTTTATTTATTTATGTATATGCGGTGCTGAGGATCCGAACCCCGTGCCTCACACATGGTAGGCAAGTGCTCTATCACTGAGCCACAACCCCAGCCCCCTCACCACAATCTTGCCTGGCAGGAACCAATGAGGTCTTGGGACTCAGAGATTAGGAAATTTGCACAAGTGCTCCCTGCAGGTCCTGCCTCATGCCCAGGCTCTCTCCAAATATGGTTGGTTTATCTGGCTCTGTATTCCTCTTTTTTCTCCCCCTCAGGCACAAATGCATTGCACATTCATTCCATCCTGCTTTTTTTTTTTTTTTTTTTTAGTTATCGGCGGACACAACATCTTTGTTTTGTATGTGGTGCTGAGGATCGAACCTGGGCCGCACGCATGCCAGGCTAGCGTGCTACCGCTTGAGCCACATCCCCAGCCCCAATCCTGCTGCATCTTGATAATTTGTTACCTGAGTGAGGAATATGATTCCATTGAGTGAATAATCTGGCTTAGGGATGATCCTTGTTTTTAGTCACAATAGTTTCCTCTCTCTGATCCCCTTTTTGTCACAGAGGTAATTAGAAACTGTGGGACTAGTTTGGGGGTCAGAGTAGGTGGGGAGAAGGCACAGCCAGGTGGTATAGAAGCTTCCTAAACTTTTATGCAAAATAATGTGTTCATGTGAATCTGGCCTTTTTAAAAATTAAAAAAATATATATTTATTATATTTTAGTTGTAGTTGGACACAATGCCTTTATTTCATTTATTTATTTATTTTTATGTGGTGCTGAGGATGGAACCCAGGCCTCGTGCATGCTAGGCGAGTGCTCTACCGCTGAGCCACAATCCCAGCCCCACCCCCCCTTTAATTGCAGTTAGAGTTCCAAAGATATTTTAGATTCCCAGAAAGTCAGGGACCCCGAAGTTTAAATTTAGAGATGAGAAAGGTGATCTAGAGGAAGGATGCTGCTCCAGTGGGCAGAGACTACAGAAGGGAAAACTCATCTCTGAAGTGGCAGGAGCTCAGGCTGGGCTTCCCAAATGTGTGCACCACAGCACCCAGGACAACTCTTCCAGAATCCAGCCCAAATCAGGATTCCAATGCCCTTAATCATCATCATCATCATCATCATCTAGAAGTTGGCAGCTTCTAGAATAATCTAAAGTTGGCATCTCCAGGTCCCACTGAGGCAACACCAGAATTCATTTTGGGGGGATATACAGAAGAATTTTGTCTTGGAAAATTTTGGTGGCCCATTCTGAACTGGCTCTTAAAGGATCCTCTAAAAGGACAAAGAATTTTTAACAATAGAAAACTTTTCAGGAAGGAAGGCTGGGGTTTGGGGTAGGAAAAGCAAAAGTCAGATCAATAAGAAGGGGGAGTCTGAATAACTATCTGAACTAGACAGCTGGCTTGTGGGATGGGGGTGAGTGTGGAAGAACAGCTAAAAAGTACCTGCCCAGGGCCTCAAGTGGGGGGAGGGGAGTCCCTCCTTAGCCCTCACTCTCCACCAAACACAAAACCTCACTCTCCCAGAAGGAGGAATCAATCCACTTAGGATGTGGAAACCAGTTCCTATCTATCCTGAGACCTATAGAAAATCTACAAAAGCAGACCTCTAGGCCCTGGGTTTTAACTGTGTTTTCCAAACAATGGGGTAGAGACCCCACTCTCCTGGTGCAGCATTGAATTCAGAAGGTTTACCTTTGGTTTTCCCTCCAAGACCCTTTCTCCTCTCCCTAGCCTAAATTTCCCACACTGTGGTCTAAAGCTGCCCTTCCTCCAAGTTATCTTATCAAAGAAACTGGTGTGAGGTGATGGGAGGGTTCCCCCACTGCTTTCTATAAGCTAATTCAGTCCATGACTTCCCCCTTAGAGAAGAAAAAGGCATCTTCAAGATCTGTTCTTTCCAAAAGAGGCAATTATCTTATAATTCATCTTCTTCTCCAGTCATAAAACCTATTTTGTCAGTTTTCTTAGACCCTGTTCTACATTGGCAGGAGACCTTGAGGTAGGATGTGGGGGCAGAGGCAAGAAAGAAGAACCAGCTCTACCTGAGTTCTTTCCTTCCCACCACCCCCTGCTCTAGGAAGGAAAGGGTGATTGTTACTAGTCCACCATCTCTTCCTGCCATCAGTGTGAGGATCCAGGACAAATGTACCCAAAGCAAACAGAGCTAAGACCCTGGGGGATTTAGGGGTGGGGGAAGCTCTCCCAAAATCTTCAACAGAGACCAGAGGTTAGGAAATTATCAGGGCTTCTCTTCCCAGTGGGCTCAGTCCCCAGCACAGCAAAATCCTATCCAATTCCCCAAGCTCTTACCATTATTACCAGGAAAGACACTCAACAATTTGTTTGTAATTAAACGCTTTCCTTCAGCATTTGGGGGGGGGGGGGTTCCTTTAGACTTGGAACAAATGGAGCGCAGGAGTGGTGACACCTCCCCCTGCCCACCAATGATTAAGGGAACCTCATGTTTACCTTCACACTCATTAGCAATTGATAAAAACTGAATTTGAACTAGCCACTGGCACAAATGATTTTGGCGGGGGAGACTATGTATTTTTTGGGGGGGGGGGGAAATCTATTGAAATCCCTAGACTTCATACAATTCCAAACAAAGCCCCACATGACTTCAATTACCACCAAACATTTCCAGTTCCCCTCCCCCAACATAAGCTAACACATTCAAACATTTCGAAGCAGAGGTTCCAACTTACTTTCTCCCTTGTCCCAAAGTCAGCCAACAAAAGATGATAAGGTACCTTTCCTCCCATAACCATTTAGCTAAAAACAAAAAAGCTAGATCTTGGGCTCCAAGCTCACTTCTCTGCACCACCCCCAACTAACTAGGTGAGGGAGACAGGGAAGGAGGAGGGAGGTGTGGTTTGGTTAAACTAATAAAATGTTACAACCCTGTTAAATACAATTAAAGGGCTAGATCTCTTGAAGATAATTAAATGCACTTTATTATTATGATTATTAGCTTTTAATTTGCACTATTATCAAGACACATGAGATGGCAAAAAAATGAGTTACGTGGCATAATTGTCTTCAAATCAATCCTTTGGAATTAAAATTCTAAAATATTCCAAATAGTTGAGGAAATTGATGTGTGTTGGAAACTGGAATTCTCATACCAGCAGTCAAAGATATTTTATACATCACTTCTCAGGCAGCTAACTTAAAAAAAGTCTTGACTTTTATTTGGGAGGGGGTAGGAGGAAGATAAGAAACATCTGTTATAAACATTCTATCAATCTTGTGATATAGAATGTCCAGTAAACACTCAACCCCACCCCCACAGCCACAAAGAGCCTGCCCACAGCCTTCTAAAGCAAAGATACCCACTTTTTTTTTTCTTTTTTTTGGACAAGTTTTAAAAGAAACCAGTCTTTTGTCAAAAGAAAACTAAGAATCCCATCCCATCAGTCCACCCATTCCCTCCCCCCAACCTAACCCATTTTTATTGCTTTGTGGAAATAAAAAAGAGAAAAATAGCTCCCAACAACAAAACAAAACAAACAAACAAACAAAACACATACACAAACCAACCTGCAATCTGCTAACCTGAATACCAGTTTTTTGGTTGGGGGCCAGCAGACCACCAGGAAATAAGGGGAAGGCTGCAAAATCTCAAAATCCCAGAATTTGCAAATAAATGTTCAAAGGCTCATGGTACCTCTAAAAATTCAGGCAGAGGATCAGAAATCGAAGTGGTTTGTGTATGTGTGTGTGTGTGTGTAGTGGGGGGACGGTTAAAACATAGCCCACAAAGCATATTCTGCCTATTTTGGACGCTTAGGGTAGCGAGTGGAAACGAAGAAAAGTCAAAGACAGAAAGAGTGGGCCAGGGCAGTGGAGGCCATACCTCCCCAGGTCCCCGCCCTCTCCCCCACACCATCCTCGGTTTTTTTTTTTTTTTTTTCCCACGTCTTCATCTCGACTGGGAAGTTTCCAAATATCTAGTGAAGGAGTCAGGACAAATGAAGAGGGAAAGAAAAGAAGGAAAAATAAAACGAAATAAAGACGAATCCAAATCTTTTAAAAAATAATCCAACAGTTTCCACAGGCCCAGCGTCAGCGAGGAGGCTCGCAAATTTGGCTTTTATAGAAGTTAAATGGAACTAACTCCCAACTCCTCACAGCCAACAAAAACAGCGCTCAGGCTAGGTGCCTCTCCCAGCAGGCCCAGCCCTGCCAAATCACCAAAAATTTTGAACCAGAGTACATACCGGACGGCTTTAAAAGGGCACTTAAGAAAGGAGAGACCTCCCCCAGGTTCCCACCCCAATCTTCAGCCTTGGCGCCGGCTCCATTGTTTTTTTTTTTTTTTCTCTCTCCTTTTTTTTTTTTTCTTTTAAATAGAAAATATATAATTAATTTACAAAGACTATTTACAGTTTTAATTACAAACCTGGTGGGGGTGTTGGGCAGAGTTCTCTTTAAAAAGCGACCTAGAAAAGAAATGGTTTCCATTGTTCTTTATTTAAAAAAATAAAATAGGAGTCCGTAGGGAGCCCTCCCCCCCGCCTCGCCGCAGAAGGAAAGCACAGTGCCATCCCATCCCGGAGGTGCAGGGTAGCCGCGCGCCCTCGCTCACACGGTGGTTTCGCCATGTCGGCTGTTGGTGAGACGCGTGTAGAACTTCCTCCACGAATGCAGAGTCTTGCCGGACCAGATCCAGAAGCCCGACGTGATGCCCACGATGAGAGTCATGAGGTATTTAATCATGTAGACCGTGAAGTCGGGCGACATGCGCGGCGTGTAGTGCGCCGGGCACGGGATGGCCAAGCTCTTGCAGTGCTGGCTCACCCACGAGCGCTCCCAGTGCTCGCGGAAGGCCTGCTCGTAGAAGTAGCAGGCTATGACGATGGTGGCTGGCACCGTGTAGAGCACAGAGAAGACGCCGATGCGCACCATGAGCCGCTCCAGCTTCTCCGTCTTGGTGCCATCGTGCTTCATGATGGTGCGGATGCGGAAGAGCGACACGAAGCCGGCCAGGAGGAAGGATGTGCCAATGAACAGGTACACGAAGAGTGGTGCCAGCACGAAGCCCCGCAGCGGGTCCAAGCTATTGAGGCCCACGAAGCACACGCCGCTCAGCAGGTCGCCGTCGATCTGGCCCATAGCCAAGATGGTGATGGTCTTGACGGCCGGCACGGCCCAGGCCGCCAGGTGGAAGTACTGCGAGTTGGCTTCTATGGCCTCGTGGCCCCACTTCATGCCCGCTGCCAGGAACCAGGTAAGCGACAGGATGACCCACCAGATGGAGCTGGCCATACTGAAGAAATAAAGCATCATGAAGAGGATGGTGCAGCCCTCCTTCTTAGTGCCCTGCACCACCGTGCGGTAACCGTCTTCAGAGAAGCGCTCGTTGCATACCACACGCTCCTGGAGGACGAAGCCTGCGATATAGGCCACCGACACCATAGTGTAGCAGCCCGACAGAAAAATGATAGGACGCTCTGGATAGCGGAAGCGCTGCATGTCCACCAGGTAGGTGGTGACAGTGAAGAAGGTGGAGGCACAACACAGCACCGACCAAGTGAGGATCCAGAGGCGTGCGAAACGCGTCTCCTCCTGCGAGAAGAACATGGAGCCGTCGGGCCGCGCGGGTTCGCAGGGAGCAGCACAATCGCGCTCACCCAGAAACTTGTAGCTGAGATAAGACGGCACCTTGAGCACACGCGGGCAGTGGAAAGGGTGCTCCAGCGTGGCGTAGCGTGGGGGCGCGCCGCCTCCGCCGGGGCCTCCCGGGGTGCCACCAGCGCCAGGCTGCAGACCCGGCGGCGGCGCGGTGGTGAGCAACGCTGGCGCTCCGTCTTCGGAGTGGTTCTGGCCCACGCAGATCTGCTCCGCGCCGTGGCGCGGGAAGTGCTCGCAGCGCAGACGCTCGGGCCACTGGAAACCGAACTTGTTCATGAGCGCCTCGCAGCCCTGACGCGCGCGCTCGCAGATAGAGCGGCACGGCGGAATGGCCTGCTCCAGTACTGTGCACACGGGTGCGTACATAGAGCATAGAAAGAAGCGCAGCTCGGGAGAGCACTGCACCTTCACCAATGGATAGAACTGGTGCACCTCCAGGCCTGCGTCCTCCTGGTTCGTATGGCCCAGAAGGTTGGGCATGATGGTCTGGTTGTAGGCGATGTCCGTGCACAGCGGGATGGAGATGGGCTGGCAGAAGCCGTGGTCCGGGATGGAGATGCCCTTCTCCCCATGGAATTGGGCAGGCCCGGCGGCGGGAAGGAGCAGCAGCGGCAGCAGCAGGCGGGGCAGGGCGCTGCGGGGCCGCATGCTGGCCGCCGCCCCCCACCCAGATCCTGGGCAGCCCCCCGCCCCCGCCCCCAACCCCGAGACCGCGCGCCTTCCCAGCTGCCGCCTAGCTGCGGCCGCCGCCTCCCGCGCCTCTTTGCAAACTTTGCTCGCGGTCGCAGAGTTGGGGAGGCCGGGCGGGGGAGGGGGCGGCGCGCCTGCCCGCTAGCTCGCCGCGGTCGGACTGAGCCGCCGGAGACACCGTGCGCCGCTGCCCTCTCTCCTCCTCTTCCTCCTCCTCTCGCCTCTCAGTTCCCCCTCTCCCCTCCCTTCTCCACCCAGCGACTCCTTTGTGCCTCCTCCAGTCCTCACCTCGGCCTCTCCGATCCCAATTAGTCGGTTTCAAGGGGGCCCCCGCTGGCGGCCCCGCCCTCTCTTCAGCCCCCCAAAAAAGGGATACTTGAAACCGCCCCGTCGAGTTCTAAGCACCGTCCCAAAATGTGCTCTCCGCCAATCAGATTTAAACCCAAGGACCAGCCCCGAGGGCTGGATTGGTCCACCACAACATAATGAGATCAGAAACCAGATGCCAACAAAACTTACCCCCCCTCTTTTTGCTTTTTAAAGAGACAAGCTATTATTACATTAAGGGCTATTTGCCCAGCCCGGGATTTCTCCGGAGTCGCCGCGGCCAGATCCGGAGAAACACATTCCCCAGAGCTGTTAGACTCCAGCGTCTCAAAGCTGGATTACTCAGCTTGCTGGGAGCCCAGGCACTCTGCTGGGTAGGGGTTCTTTAAATCCTTGCCCCCGCCTCCCGCTTCTCAAATCCACCTATTTCAGTCCGATTTTTCTAATCAAATGAAAATTCTCAAGTTGAAAAACTTCTATTAAGGACATTTTTTTTTTTTTTTGAAACTTGGGGTCGAACCCAGGGCTTTGCGAATGCAAGGCAGACGCTTTGCCACTGAGCTACATCCCAGCTCTATTAAGGACTTTTTGTTAAAAAAAAAAAAAAGCTAACAATTTACAAAGACTTCTCTCAGACTTCTCATGGAGCCCGGGCAAAAGTTTCACTTCACCCTACTCGTAGACCCAAAAGAGTGCGCCTCGCCCCTCCCCCTACACACACCCTTAAATAACCCTCTGAAAAAATGAGAGCCTGTCTCTTTAAGAGGCTCTTAAAGGGGCCCGGACTCCAGGGCGTAATTGCCCCGCAGCGAGCACAAAGGAGCCCATTATGGTTCTTTGTGTTCGGTGGCACCTCAAAGTGAGAAAACTCAAGAACTCCGAGGCCGGGAGCTAGAGGGTTGGGGGTTGGGGAGCCGAGGTGAAGGAGAATGGCCGGGAGCTAGCAGCTTCAATCTCCCCCTTCTTCCGAGGCAAATCTTAATTATGCTAAGTAAAGTTTAGTTGCCATAAGGAGAAGGTCTTAATCGAAAGTTAATGGTTGGGGGTGGGGGGTGATGGGCAGTTTTGAGTGAAGAAACGACTCTCTTAGGCCTGGCGAACGTTTGGGGGAATTTTCCTTCTCCCTCCCCACCTCTGCTCCGCCTCCTAAAAGCTTCCAGAGATCGTCTCCAGAGAGAAAGGGGAGTTTTACTCGAACCTTAAGTGATTCCGCAACAGAAAGGGGTGGCGTGTGTCACTAGGGAGGAGGCTGGGGGCTGGGGGCTGGGAAGGATTATTCCCTCCTCCCTCTCACCTGGTTGGGGGGTGGGAGGTGGCCAGGAGGCTAGCTTCTAGTTTGCATTGCTCCCCACTTCTAGGATTTTAAGTTTGAGAGGAAAGTCTGGGGCCCAGAGGGGAATTTGCATGTAAATCTTTTGGGTCTAGTACTGAATGATGGATCAATTATTTCTGTTGTCTGTCGGAAGGAAAGGGAAGGGGGAATTTAAAAGAAGAAAGAAAATTGAGTTTAGAAAGCCCCTTTGCTTCTTAGTATGGGCCAAATCCTCCCAGCCTGGAAAGCTGTTTCCTGTTCCAATCTAGAAAAAGATTGCTTAAAAAAAAAAGAAAGAAAGAAAGAAAGAAGAGAGGGGTGGGGAGAAGAAAAGAAAACTATAAGGAGATGGATGGATAAAAAGAGAGCTGGATTTCACAGGATATATATTTTTTTCTTCATCAATATAAAGATTTTAAGGTTCTTTACAACTTGAAAATACCTCTTATTGTATGCTGAAGAAGTTATTTTTTTCCTCCTCTAGTTAGAGTGTTTTCCTCCAAAATTAAAGGCATAGGACTTTTCGCTGTGCATTTCACCGGCTCATCCTGTCATTCGTGCTCTACAGCAGTCTGGAGATGGAAAAGTTGGAATTTCTTTGCTCTACAGAGCCCAATCCAAGCCTGGGTTGCTGATTCTTCAGACCTCCCTGTCTAGTTTGCTTCACTGCATCTTTACAGCTGGTACCATGCCTTGGAGCTGAGCCCTGGAAACAAAAATGATTAAGACAGGCTCCTTCACCCCACTCACTAAGCTCACAGTTTGATATGAAATTGAAAACAAGCCTCCAATGTGAGCGCAGCATCTCCAATTTCCTACCATGACAAACTGGTTTTCCTGCCCTAGGGCCAGGCCTAAGTGACAGTTTTCATTTCCCTGACCACCTCAGGCAGAGGGAGAGCTGGAGCTGGAAAATAGAAATAAAGGACTTTCTTTTCTTTTCTTTCTTTCTTTTTTTTTTTTTTCCTTTCTGGTACTGGGGATTAAACCTAAGGGCACTTTACCTCTGGACTACATCCCCAATCTGTTTTATGTATTTATTTTTTAAATTTTGAGACAGGGTCTCCCTAACTTGCTGAGGCTGCCCTCTAACTGGAGATCCTCCTATTTAGGCCTTCCAAGCAGCTGGTATTATAGGTGTGCACACCCAGCCCAGCAAGGACTTTCACTCAGTGGACCTTACATTTCTCAGCTCACTCTCCCACTCCCCCTCTTGGGTGCTGGAGATCAAATCCAGGGCCTCCAGCCTGCTAAGCAGATCTACCACTGAGCTACAGCGTGAGCCCTCAACACTTTTTTTTTCAAGATAAATGGGATTGAGCTGAGGAGTGTTTTACTACTGAACCACACCCCCAGACCTTTTTTAAAAAATATTTTATTATTATTTTTAGTTGTAGTTGGACACAATACCTTTATTTTTATTTATTTATTTGGTGCTAAGTATAGAACCCAGGGCCTCACACGCATGTGCTAGACAAGCGCTCTACCACTGAGCCACAACCCCAGCCCTTATTTTTTATTTTGAGACAGGATCTCTCTAAATTGCTGAGGCTGGCCTTGAATTTGTGATCCTCTTGCCTCAGCCTTAGGAGTCAGTAGGATTTGTGAGCTACTGAAGCCAGATTTAAAATTAGGTAGTCAGTGTAGTTAGGTAAATCAGGTTTAATACCGAGTGAAATCTAAAATGGAGGCCATGCTGACAATGATTCCAGAAACGCAGGACAACTCATGGAATGTTACTGAAGTCCCAGAAAGGCCCTAGGCCAAAGTCCACCCCAAAGAAATGTTAATGGAACCCAGGAAACAGCCCCCAACAGATTTAGAGATAAGCCCATCCCAAAGAAGTGATAAGCCCATCCCAAAAAAAGTGATAATGAAGTCCTTCCTGCCCAGATTACTTGTTTGGCCCACCTGTGTCCCAACTCTTCCCCCTTACATTCCATCACTAAACCTATAAAAAGGGGAACACATTTGCCCTTCAACGGATTCTTGGGTCCCCTTCTTCCTCCGGGAGAAGTCTTTTCTGCTGTCCTTTAATAAACTTCTAATTTCTACTCTGACCTTGCCTCGTGCTTTTCTGGTGTTATTCTTCAACATCGGGGAAGCAAGGACTCATCACTGGCCAACAGTGGTAACATATTGGAGGTTCCACCGAGATTTTTCTACACCGAGGTAAGCCCTCTCCACACACCCCATGTCTGTTTGAGGTGCATCTTTCTCTCTCTTTCTTTCTGGAGGGTAAGGTGGGCACCCGACGGCTACTTAAACGAAATTAGTGCAGCCGCCACTCTTCAAGAGGTTTCCTGGCCTAGGCAGACCCAACCCTTGTTTCTGAGGAGCTTATGTTCCAGGGGGCAGAGACTGACATTTATGACACAGTATACATAAATGTAAAAATTCAAAGTTATGAAAGGAAGGTGTCTGGTCCTACGAAAGTATAATGGGGAAGGAAGTCTGACTGAGTCCATCAGGGTGGGAGAGGAAAGTCTGTGTGGTTGAAGTGAGGAGTGAAGTAGGTTGAAGTAAAACAGCCAGCAGGGATCAGACTTACAGGTGTTTTTGAATGTGGAAATAGGAACTCACAATCTAATGAGGAAACAGTCATGTAAGCAGACAGATAGGGATAGGCATTCCAGACACAAGGAACAGATCCATGTGTATAAGAAAGTACCGAAATAGATGGAATTGGCAGGGCACACTACTTTGGCCATTAGAGCCCCACGTGCATTTGGGGGAGTGATGGCAGAGGAAGCTTCAGGTATGCAGGGAAATTAGGTCCCTTGCATATAGGCTGAGCTCAAGGAGACAAGGATATACTACAGAGGCTACAGAAGGGAAGTGACACACTTCAGTTGTAGTGCATGTAGGCAGCTCTGAGGAACATGAGTGGGAGGGAGCCAGAGTGCCCAGTAGGGGTGGAGCACAAGAGACCATGCAGGAAGACACAGAAGGACAAACCACAGGTTCTCACACATGTAGAAACTAAAAGAGTTGATTTTGCAGAAGTAGAAAGTAGAATACTGGTCACCAGAGGTTAGGAAGTGTAGAAGGAAGGGATTAGAAGGAGGTTGTATTACCACATCTGGGCCTGGTGGACTTACAGGTAAGCCCAGCCACTCAGGCAGCTGAGGCATAAGGCTAGCAAATTGAAGGCTAGCCAGAGCAACTTACTGAGACCCTATCTCAAAAAATAAATAGATAAATAAAAATTTTAACAAGCCAGGTGTGGTGGCACAGTCACATGATGGTTCATGTCTATAATCCCAGTAGTTTAGGACATTCAAGACAGCAAGATGGTGGTTTCAAAGCCAGCCTCAGAAACAGCTGAGGAACTCAGTGAGACCCTGTCTCTAAATAAAATACAAAATAGGGCTGGGGATGTGGCTCAGTGGTTGAGTGTCTCTGACTTCAGTCCCCAGTACACACACACACACACACACACACACACACAAAGGGGGGGGCTGTATATGTGGCATAGTGGTAGAGTGCCCCGGGACTCCACCCCAGTACTGCAAAAAAAAAAAAGAAAAAAAAAAAGGCCATCAGTAAAGAAATAGTGAGGGCAGAAACTGAGCGCTGAGAACAGACATGTGGGAG